GCGCTGCGGCGGTTTGCTCCTCGGTTACGCGGCGGTGGGTCCCGGGTCGTTCACCCTTAAGCAGCACCCTGCCCTCCCGGAAACCCTCCCTGCTCCGCTACTTACTTAAAAAAATCTCCCTGAATTGTGGTAACCCGCTGCAGCCGCTGATAAATTGTTACGGAATTGATCACCTTTGCTGCTAACAATAGGGGTGTCACCTCTGACGCGGTGACAGGCGTATTCTCAAGGGGTGACGATCGCTTCCCCGCTAAAACCCCGTTTTTCCGGAGAGCATAGATTCTCTCCTTGCAGAAGCGAGTACCTCGTATTTGGGGCTTTCCCTATAAAGGGCGATTTCCAGTCCGCGTCTTATCATTCAGCTGTCCACATTTTTTCAGCATCCGCCTTCAGTTTCAGCTGGATGCAGTCTGAGGGGTTTTCGTGGAGGGTGCGCTAATGCCAAACGCAGGCACAGAACAACCTTTCTGGCTGATTATCGGTGAAAAAACAAAGGCATCCAAGGCCTTTCTGCTCCACCATCGTACTGACGGCTCCCAACCAGCCCATGATTGCAAACGCCTCCCAAATTAGGGTCGGGTGACTGTTTACATGCCTGTCGCCATCAGTTTGAAGGTGAATTTCTTTGTAGCAGGTGTACCGTGCTTCCCAACGAAGCAGGGCTGTTTGACCTGTCATGTGCAAGGTAGTAACAGTCTCTTGTCCTGTTTTGGGGAAGGAGGAGGAGAGAGATGCTGCCTAGTGACTTGGTGGTGGTGCGTGTACTGGAGACATGGCAGTACCTGAGCAAAATCACTCTCTAGTTTTTAAAAAACTTAGCAAGTTTATACTGTATACGCTGAAATCCATATTACCGGTGAGTGTGACTTAAGAAACGTTAATGTCAGCGTTGCTCTACAGCACGACACAGAGGTGCATCCTTCTGCCTGTAGCATCTCTCTTCGTACCCACGGGTGACTAATGCTGTCTGCTAAAGCATGCTGCCTTGAAAATCCAAGTTCTGGTCAACGATAGTCGATACGGAAATGAAATCCGGTAAATTTGGAATAAACTGGCAAAAGAAAGCCAAACATTTACTGGTTTTGTTAGCTTCTGCATGGAGGAAGACGAGAAGGAGTGAAAGCGGATCGCTGCTCAGGCAAAGGTGCTCAGCTCCATCTTGGGCAGGATCTGGAATTTGTCTGGAGAATAAAGGGAGGTTGGCATTTTCTTCCCAGCTCTGCTACATTTTTTGTTCTACCTCAAGGGTAATGCCTTACCCCAGGGTCGTGGGAGAAGGAAGGTTTAGGCACATCAGGAGGTTCTCACTGCCCCTGCGTAGGCTTTCCTCCTCACCGCGCTCTGCAGCCGCTACACTCGCAGGCCTCTGGTTAGGCAAAGGCAACAGTCCATCCACGTTGTATTGTCCGCACGAGGATCCCGCTGTCTCAGTAGCCAGGTCGCTTTTGCTCGTGTTTTCTGTTTATGGGTTTTTTTCCTCGTGTTTAACTGCTCTCTCTTTTGGTTTTAGTGGGTGGGAGCTAAGCAGCACGAGTTGCAGGTAAACTCTATGCAGTTGCTGTACTATCAGGCACCAATGTCCTCGGCTATGTTGTTGTTCATCATACCCTTCTTTGAGCCAGTCTTTGGAGAAGGGGGAATATTTGGGCCCTGGACGCTTTCCGCTGTGGTAAGGATTGTATTGACCTTGTTTAAACATAATCGATCATCGTTGCGGTGGTTAAGTCTGATGCTAAGATCTGTGCTTTGCAAAACAGATTGCTGTACAGTCACTGACTGATGAGATGAGAGGGGCGTGCGCAAGGCTGTTGGCCCCACTTCCTCCCAGAGGAGTCTGCCTGTCAACTGATTTACCTCCTTATCCCCCTTTCTGTTCAGAGGGCACCTGAACAACAGGAGAACCTCACAAAACCCAGAAGCTGCCCCTGGGCTATTACATTTAAACTGTGTAAGTGCCCTGGTTCCAGCCTTACTGTCCACTCAGAGGAGAGATGAGCGTGCTCGCTTTTGACACTCTCAGTTCCTCTGCGGTGGCAGGATGCCAACGTTGGTGGTTCTCCAGAACTGCTATTTTATTTTCACCAAGCAGGCTATAATTTTTTCTCTTTATCCTTCTGTCCAAAAAAGGAGCCAGCAGCACGTGCTTACCACGGCTGATCGTGCTGCTCGGCGATGGGTCGTTTCTTGTAGCGCTGAAGTTCACGAGTGGAAGAGCACGGATTCACAATTATAAAATAGTCCGTGTTCCCCAAAATACTGGGTTTTTAATGTGATCCTAAATAAGACTTTGTCTCAAAGGTGAAGAATACAGTTCTGATGTGTATTAGTAGCCAGATTTTCCAAATCTCTCTCAAATGTTCCCTGGGAGTAAAGGAGAAAAGGCTTGTGGTTGTATGGGTGTGTATTTATGGACATCGTACCCCGAGCTACTTAGGCACTCGCTGGTGTCTGTGCTGATTTGAAGCTGTTCCTATTTTTGTTCTCCATATGTTTTTCTTGTCTGATGCTTTGCATTTTGAAAGTAAAGGAAACTAACTGCGTAAGCTGGGACGTACCTACAAATGGCCAAAAGCGAGTGGGGTTACTGACTTATCTATTAATCCACAGATAATGGTACTGCTATCGGGAATAATAGCCTTTATGGTAAACTTGTCCATTTACTGGATCATTGGAAATACGTCACCTGTCACGTATCCTTTGTAACGTTGGCGGTTTCTCCTCTTTCCAGGTGAATTCCGTTAGCATTCACTTGGGCTGACTTACTGTGGGAAAACTGTTTGGTAACCTTCCCGCTTTATCTTAAACGATGAAGCTGGAAAAGCACGTTCACGGTTTAGCGTATCTCACCCCTTTGTTCCGGGTTTGCACGGATAATGGCGGTTAAGTTACTGACGTGACCTTTGTAGCTACAAAGAGCTATTACTTGGGCTGCCCTGAGGAAGCGCTGGCGTGTCCGTCAGCCCGTAGTGTGTGGTGGGTGGAAGGCTTTACCTGTAGGTTAATTCTCGTCGCCGCAGAGGTGCGGGAAAGCTGCATGAGTTGAAGTCGGCGTGACGTGTCGCGTGCTTTGGATGCAATTAACGAAGCTCCCACGTGTTTCTTCTTACAAAAAGCGATACTGTTATCCTTAACAGGTGTCTAGGTATAACATGTTTGGACATTTCAAGTTCTGCATCACCCTTCTGGGAGGGTGCCTTTTATTTAAGGATCCACTGTCTGTTAATCAAGGCCTTGGGATTCTCTGCACGTTGTTGGGCATTTTAGCCTACACCCACTTCAAGCTTAGCGAGCAGGAAAACAGTAAGAGTAAATTGGTTCAGCGTCCATAAAGGCAAGGGTTTCCGGAGATGAGTAACATTGTGAAGGAAAACAAGTATTTAAACATGCGTTGCTTCTGGGACACACACAACTGCCTCGTTCATTTGGATCTGCAGTTTTAGTTTAACCCCCAGGATCGTTATTCTGCAACTAAACAAAACGAACTGGATGATGTAAAATGCTGGGGTTTTGCCATCTCGGTCTGTCCTATCGTTTTCGTGAAATTTAAATGGTAAGTTAAAGGAGAAAAAGGCACCCTTCAGGTTGCTGTGGAAATTGTACTGAAGTAATTGTATTTTTTGCATACCGAATGAGATCCTGATGGCTACAACGCAGAGAGAGGGGGAGAGACTCTTGTCTTTGTGATCGTGCCAGTATTACCGTTGTGAAGAAACTTGGAGGCGCTCTTGGGCAGGTGTTCTGGTGTGCAGTGATGCTGTGTCCTTGTTGTCTGGTGAGGGATGCAGAGAAAACATACTTTTGTTTGGCAGTTTTAAACAGGGCCACCAAGCCCGTTCCTGGATTTTTGGATGCTTTCTTACGTGTGCTTGGCTTCAGCACGTTGAGGAGTTCTGGCTGAAGACCGTAGGTAAAATGACAGGTGGGGAGAGACTAGGGAAGACACTGGAAAACTTGAAGGCACTGGCCAAGCTGTAGAAAAATAGGAATTCGGACCTTAATAGTTCATCTTAAATTTTTCTTTTTGACGTCGGTGAAGTCAGGCGTGTTTTAGAAAATTCTGTTACTGCTTTATCGTTTTCTCTATGCCAAAACCAAGCCAGGGGCTGCCTGGGCAGTGCTGGGTCGGCAGCCTTTCCTCAGCCGACGCTCCCTGGAACCTCACCAGAGCGAATGAAGAGTCTGAGGTGGGACCTGCTCCTGCTCTAATTCGGGAATGCTTTGGAAATTAGTTTATGCCAGTATCAAGCACTGATTTTGACAACGTGGAAGGAAGGAGAGGTTGAGTACTCTTCTATTTAAAGAAAAGAAAGAAAAAATAACTGCTTTCAGTAAATCTGGTGAGAACATATGTGTGCTAGATTTGCAGGGTTAGAATTTATTTGCAGTATCTTAATCTGTACATTTTGGGTTTTGTTTTATCTTCATCTACCTCTGGCAGATTTAAATAGGGGAATTACATGAACAAAACCAGGTATTTAACTTCTACAGCCACCGACAGAAATGACACTTTTTTACATTAGAGGTAACACGTCTTTGTGTAAGAAACAATGCAGATCTTCTCAAGCTTTTAAATTATTTATTCTGTTAAAAGTTGTTGATTTAAGAAGAAGTTATTTCGCTGGGTAACCTAAGTTTACACCATAATGCTCTATATAATTTCAGAGTTCGAGATACCTGAATAATTTTACAGTTTTGCCAACTGTGTCTTAGGCGTTGTACTGGTCCAAGGATACCTTTTTGTATATGTTTTTATAAATCTACAATCAGCTTAAAAATACAGCCTGGACTACTGAGAGATGTGTTCAGACAGGACAATCTTTGGATGCATATCCTTCAGTACGTACACCGAGAAAGCCATTTGCATTCATTTGTGCTGTGCACAAGTTCTTCTAAAATGTAGTTAGGCCGCAGAGACTCTTACCGTTGGAAAACAACACCTGAATTGGAAGCTTGTATGACAACAATGCTTGGGATGAGACAGAAGTAAATGTAAAGTGGTAGAATGAACAAAACAACCATGTCTGACAGTACAAGACTCCTTAAGCAGAGGAGCAGATCTGCAAGGGGAAGGTAACTGTCCTTAAAACGATACGTTATGAATACAGTCTGTTGCTGGAATGTGTAAGTCGTGGAGGTCACTTAAGTGACATGATTTTTTTCATACGTTCAAGAACTCTCCTTGGAGATTTACCTGTTGTATCTAACAAATAAACTATCTTGAACTTTGTCATATGGTTCAAAATATTACATCCCGGAGGCTTGTGTAATCGTGGGATGAACAGATCTTTGTATGTGTTGTTTCTTTGGGTAACGTGTGTAGGGTGGGAATAAATTTTTAATCACTTGTCTGGTATCTGCTTATTGCAGGGGAGAACAGTTGTCTTTTTTCATCTTCTGCTTGGATTGCACACACTTTAAGGGTCTAGGTGTGCGAATAAGGCACAGTGGTGCCGCTTGGATTTCTCTCTGTACGAATATCTCGAGGGGTTTGTGTGTTTTGGGGCTGAACTGACACAAATGAGGGAGGCTGCACACTGCCTCTCCCCTGGGCAAGAACAGGGCCCCACATGTAGGTGTGCACACACTTGCCCACCAACAAGCTGCCTGTGGGCTTTCCTCTGCCGTTTTTTTCCCCCAGCTAAGTCCCTCCCGAATGCTCCAGCCTCTCCACCTTCTCCATTTCCTTCTCCTGCATAAAGGTCCCCATTGCTGAGGTTCCTTGGTCTCGCCTTTCCCCTACGCTAAAATCGCGCATCTCCCTCGCCCCTTGGCAGAGAAGTCCCGATGTTCTCCCAGTGCTGCTGGGGAGGAGGGCAGGAGCAAAAGCGATGCCAGAGCAGGTGAGACTGGCACTAGCCAACTCCTTCATTCACAGGCAAGCGTCTGTAGAGTTCTACGTTAGGGGGACTGAACCTTTCTTCAGGAGACTGTGAAAGAGCAAAATAGAAGGAAAGGGTAGAGACACTTCCAGTTTGGATGGTTTTATTGCAGGCGCTGTGATAACATACTTGGCCAAACTTTTAAATCCTGAGGTAAAAGTGGACTCTCATTACTGATGCTGATGGACCTCAGTCCCCTTCTGCCATCAAGTTTTTTGCTGCTTATATTAGCATTCTGCTCTCAAATGTTGAGGTGAGAGTTGTTCTGCATCTGGTTTTGCAGGAGTTGCAGAGTTCTTGCAGGCTCTGGGGACACTGTGCCAGAGTAGTTCCCCCGCTGATGGGTGAGCAGCTACTCGCTCAGGCCTGAGGCTGGAGGAGAGTGGTTTGCTGCTGTAACACCTATGAAAAGGAGGTCTGTCTGGCAGGAAGTCTGCCTTACAGACAGAGCTGCAATTCACCAGGAAGGTCACCTCTCTCTGTCTCATCTTGTGAAATGAATGCCCAGTGATGGCCTGGGGCTAACGCAACATTAAGCCCTTGTTTGGGCTACCCATAGTTTTTATTAAACTTGTTTTAAAATATTAGTGGTTGTTGATGCTGGTTAAGTATTAAGGTAAAAAATCTCATTTTTATAATGTCTCATGTAATAGGAGCTTCAGAAGAGCGTTTTATTACAATCTGGAGTGCAGCTAATGTCTAACCCACGTCTAGTTTGTCACATTTTCTGCAAAATCTATCACAAGGTAATGATGGATTTCGTGACTGGCTGTATATATTTATCTAGCTGGGCTGCTGAGAAGGGGCTTGCTCTTCAGCAACCCTGTGCTACTGAACACTGACAGACTGTTAGTGTATTTACCCGTGATTTAGAAACATCCAGCCTGAAATTTCACCAGCATGCTTAGGAAGGGAAACAGAAGACTCCCTCTGGTAGGCAAGAGAGCTGTTACCTTCTTGCTTTTAACAACAAACCTGAGGCTTGCAGTTTAAGGGAATTTGGAGAGTGGGCCTTTCTCTCCCTCAAATCACCCTTCATAACAAAATTTTTCTCCCAAGATGTCCGTTTTGCTCCCAGTTACACAGTTGGTGCCTTACCTGGATTTTATAGGAATGTGGTTTGGATTGCCGACTTGCACATGTTTGCTTATGGGTTTTTTTCCTCTTAAAAGTTTGTGTTAGTCATTCAACAACCCAACTTCCCTGTTTAATGAGAAAACAAAAAAGAAAGGAATGTTGAATAACTGAAAGGTAGACTGGATTTATACTGAAGATATGTTTTGTTTTGCACAAGAATTTCACTCTTTAACTGTAAAGATGCAGCTCTTTCTGTTTCTCTACTGTTATAATCGGGTAGATGTACACAAGCACCAGCTTTCTGCTCCACAGAAATTCAGTCTTCCTGCTGGTGCTCTCTGATCACAGTCTCAGCCTTCCATATGACAGCTCAGTTGCTGTAAAGGTGATGGGATGTCAGCTGCAGAAGGTTAAAAACATGAAGTGAAAATCTGTCAGCAGGAGCTGATACAGTGTTGGTGTCATGGTTTAGCCCCAGTGAGCAATCAAGCACCACACAGCCCCTCCTTCACCTTCCCCTCCCCAGTGAGATGGGGGAGAGAATTGGAGGAAAAAGATAAGAGAACTTGTCGGTTGAGATAAGAATGGTTTAATAATTTAAAAAATAAAATAATGATGCTAATAAT